AACAACACCAGCAGCAACAGCAACAACAACCACAACCACAACCACAACCACAGCAAAGCCTAAAATGAATATGTTTTGTGGTTTTTCCGCCTCAAAGGGCGTGGGGTAGGTGAATGTGCTCCTTGTCCAGCTACCATCGGGCCACCGCAGCATGTCGCACGATGCGCTCGAATCCACTTCTTGGCCGGAAAGTCTCGCCTGTATTAACGCTACCTCATAGCAAAACCCCAATCCCTGTGAAACCTGTGTACCAATGTTCTTCTTAATACAGGCAGTTTCAGCATATGTGGATGACTCCGCTTCTACAGCCCACTAGGATATGTGGAGATCTTCCTGATAGTTTCCAAGTCCTAAACCCTAAACCCTAAAGCGGCCGCGACCCCGACGGGTAACTCCTAAACGAAAAACACCTCAACCCTGACTCCGAAATCCTAAGCTCTAAACATTTGCCCTATCTAACCTTATATAGCCATGTACCCATAGAAAGCCCTATATGCATGAATCCTAGAACTGGAACCCAATCCCTAAACCCCTTCAATCCAAAGGTGTGGAGATTATCCTCCCTGTCGACTTTACTTGCTCCTCCAAGTTTGGTGAGGACGGCGACATCAAGGAAGGCAGTTTCGGTTCGGGCTTAGGGGGTTCAGTACTTAAAAACCATAGACATGCCCAGAACCTGCACTGTCATTACTACTGCCCAAGCCCTACGTACTTAATCATTTGGTTCTCTGGGTTAGGCCCAAACCCTAAACCCTAAACCCGATTAGGGAGGAGCCGGGTCTGGGGCTTTAGGAGATCTCTTTAGGTTTACAGCTTTGCGGTCTGGAAGTCCTCGTGGGTTCACCCCCCCCCTCCCTGCTCACCCCCCCAGTTATACGCCCTACATAGATACCCCTTACTTCTGGTGCCATGAGCTGGGGCGAATCACAACCTGTGACACTTGGATTTTGGTAGTAGAGCCTTTTGCACATCTGGTTTTTGCTCCTTGAGCGACAGCATTGCATTTTAATTCTGGCTCAGGAAAAGCCCTACAACTTTCCAGCGGTGCAGGGCAAAGCAGTTGAGCCAGGGGTGTGGCAGTCATGGATCCAGGTCCACCCAGAACTCTCAAGTCGCCACTTCTGGCAGAACAAGGACACCTTGCAGATGGTGCTTGCCGAGGAGAAGCCCGAAGAGCCTCCTTCTCGGGAAGCTTCAACGTCATGCTCTTTTCCATTTGATTCTCCATTGTTATTGGTGCTACGTCTTCTAAACCCTACACCCTAGCAATAAACGATTTTAGGGTTCAGGGTTTACGATTTAGGGTTTAGGGTGTAGGTAGGTTTTAAAGAAATCAGTTAAGGGTTAGGGTTTAGGTTGTAGGGCTTCGAGGTAGGGATCTCGGACAGGATTTAAGGTTTAGAGCGAAGGGGTTTAGGGTTTAGGGTTTAGGGTTCAGGTAATACACCCCATGTGAGTAGTATTTTATTTGGGGATACTATGGTACCCAATATAGAGGAAGATTATATCCTCCTTTTGGGATGAAGTATTTTATATAAGGAGTATTATCTTACTAGGGTCAACCACCAAAAAAGCTACTCATGTATTCCTTGATATGCCTTTTTTTGTGATCCCTTAGAGGGACCTGACCTTACCAGGGGTAGGTTTGAAAACATTTTTGATGTTTTGTTACCCTTCGTGCCTATATACTCCTCATAAAGCCATAAAATTTTTCCAGGGCCCCCAAACCGATTCTAGTTACTTTGATTGTCCAGGCCCGGACATCAGAGGCAAATCTCTGCCTGTAGAGCTGTACGGCAACTCTAGGGGTCACAGGGGTTACGCATTAGAGGGCTAAGGACTGCATGGGGATTTAGGATTTACAGGATTCAGGACTTGGGGATTAGCGTTTGGGGTCTTAGATGGTCGAGGATTTAGTGCTCGACCATTCGGGGGTTGGACTTTTGCGGTTCTGGTTTAGGTGGGCTGGGGTAATAGCCCTTATATAGCACCGTAACAAAATGCACCAGGAAATCAGCACTCTATAGTCTCCTTCAGTAGATAGACTATGGCTTTGGGTATATTATAATAAGATCCCCATATACCCCATATTCTCTCTACTTAAGGAGGACTATAACTTAACGGTGCCCTTACAGGTCAAGCCTGCAGCTCTTCCCTCGCCTGGGTTGCTCTTGAGGAACTTGCCAACACTAGCCAGACCCCCTAAAGGACCCGAAGCTGGACCCCCCCCCACCCTTTAGGGTTTGGGAGGGTTTAAGTCTTCATTACTACATTGGGGAACCTAGGGGGTTATAGGTATGGACAGACAGGAAACACTAAGGTTTGTTTATATGAACAGTGGAAACAAATCTATCCTAATTCATGGACCTGTAAATCTCTACATCCCCCTATCATATTGTGGTGTCCACTTCCTTGTCCATGACAACGGTTTTCCATTTGATTCTCCGTTCTCTGAGTAAAAACCCTAAACCCTAAGCGCCTATATACCCCTACCTGGGTAGGCCCCCGGGATATTTAATATTTTTGCCTAATGGCTTTAATAGGGGTAGCTACAAGTTCTTCAACACTAGCCCCATGGTTTGCAGGTGTCACCAAGGAGGAGGGCATCCCTGATGGTTTCTTGAGTGAAAGTGGGGATTTCCGGAAATCAGGTGATCCTTCAAAAGGGATATGTAAGGATATCCTGGGATGCATGGGATTCTGGGGGGTCAGGGTTTCCAAAAATTTGGGGCATTCCTTTTGGTAGGGGATCAGATTGTTTTGGGTATATGAGCGAGCCCCATTCTTGGAAACATTCAAATCTTTGCGTCAGCTACGCACACGAATCCGATTTTTTGCATTTGCTTCGTACGCGCCTCTCATTTTGCCAGGAAGTGGGGCCTGCCCAGTCCCTCCTATGTAGCTCTTTTTGGGTAGTATATTAGAATCCCCTACCAAAAAGCCATAACAGACCCCAAAAAGGAACTACATAAGAGCCCTTGGGTAAAGAGCATTTCATGTATTCCCAGAGGTTCTAAGGAGCCGGATGGATCGCTTCCTCCACATCCACCCTACGTGGAGCCCTACAGATCCCTAAAGTTATAGAATTATACCCATTTGGGCTGTTCTTAGAGGTTTAGGGCTATTGTTTTACATACTTTTGGGGGTTAGGTATCCGCAAATATATCAAATGAGAATCCGCATATATTGGCTGCCATACTTAGCATTAGGAAGCGGTCAAGGGCCAGTGCATGGTTCATGGTTTATGGTTTAAGACCCTAAACCCCTACCCTAAACCCTAAACCAGAAGGTTTAGGGTCTCAGGTTGATTGCTATCACTTATACGGTTTTGGGGTGTCATTCTGGCTAAGGAAATTTGGGTGCCCTAAGCAACGGTAAGTTTATATGGGCTTCAGGGTTTAGGAGTTGGGCTTCAAGGTTTAGCGTTTTGGGTATAATGCTTGAACCCAAACCCGAAACCCTGCTTGAGGGATTTGTTGAGATTGACACCTTAAACCCTAAACCATACAGGCAAAGTCAAAGGTGGAGACAAGCAACCTCTAGGATGCTTCCTTGGACCTGCAGGGTCTAGGGTTTAGGGTTTGGGGTTTAGGGATCTGGGCAGTTTAAAGCGACCTCACCCGACCTCACCCTAAATGCAGGTTTGTATAGGGAATAGTACCAAAATGGCTTTAAATTGCGAATGGAAGCTATTCTAGATTACCCTGTCCTATGTATTTTTTGGTGGTTTGGTATTTCTTGTACATAACAGCATGTCATATATCTCAAAATTACAGCTCACCGGATTGCTAACCCTATTTGCCCCCATGAAACCAAGCTAAGATTGGGGGCCACTCCCTATAAACGCACAAGAGAGGACGAGGACTATTCGGACTCTCCTGGAACATTCAGGCTTTACGTTACAGGGGTAGGGTTGTAGAGTAACTTCGAACGACTGCTATGCTTGATCCCTATTGCCCAAGGCCAACAGTAAACCTGTCCTAGGTTAGACATTAGTTTTGAGTCCACCAACCATTCCTCCTGATCAACCTCTCCAGCAGAAACTTGCCAAGAGGCAATCATGTTTGTAACGCAGGGGCTTAAGTAATTTCCAACATGTTGACGTCCTTCTGAGGTACCCTATACCGTGCCGTAGTCATACGAGAAACCTAGAGCCTTGATAGTGGCATGTATTCACGCCCCCACAGTAGTTGCCCCAGCAGTGCAGGACTGCTTGTAGACCCAAACCCTGTGAGGGTTCATAGGATTTACTTGGAGGTTCAAGCGACTTAGTAAGTACTTATAAGTGGGCTTATACCCACTTATAACCTGACTTATAATCCCCCTAATTGGCCTGTTTAGGTTATCCCAATGTTAAGTCGAGTTATATTCCCATTTAGAAGTAGTTGCTAAGCCACATGAACCTCCAAGTAGGGTACCCCGAAACTCCTGAGTCTGTCGGCCGCGCTGCTTGGCAGTCTCTTGGGTTGTAGTCCCGCTGAGGTAGATAGAACATGGGGTATATGGGGATCTTGTCATGGCTTTAAGGGATTCAAAATTCTATCTACTTCAGGGAGACTGGGAGGATTTGGGTGATACCCAAACATAGCTCCCATCCTGTTTGAATACACCGGCATGTATGTTCAGTGGCGTGATAGCATTTGTTTCAGCGGTACTGTACAGCGCGACCCCAAAACTCCTGTGCTTGGCCCCAAATGCTTGCAACACGTGTCAACAGAAGCCGTGCGCAAGCCTTAAATCCCTAAACCCTAAACCCCCAACCTTGAATCCCAACTTAAACCTACAATCCCAGCTCTGAAACCCTCACTGGCAACCGTAAAATTCTGCATACACCTGCCTCCCTCCCACCCCAGCAAAACAAAACAAAAAAAAAGCTTTTCATCCAGCGGCTACATCGTCAATGGAAAGCTTATACGCTTCATTCCACAAGACCTCGACCTTCCAACCCGGTGTGGGGCTTAGGGTTTAGCTGAATTCTGGTGGCTTCCGTTTAGGGTAAACTCTGTCGCGTTGTCAAGCCTTTCAGCCCTGAACCCTGTGTCTCCCCCAAAACCTAAACCGTAAACCCCAAACCAAACCCTAAACCCCCAAACCATAAACCGTAAACCCTCAAACCTTAAACCCTAAACCCTAAACCTCAAACCTTGAAGACAAGGCTTCATGGGCCTGGACTGTGGTCCCAAGTCCATTGAGCTGAACGCCAAGGCTCATCGATCCAGAGGAAGCGTTTTTAGCATGGGAGATTTAAGGGGGTTTTAGGGTTTTAGGGTTTTAGGGGTTTAGGATTTAGGGTTTAAGGGGTTTAGGATTTAGGGTTTAAAGGGTTTAAGATTTAGGGTTTAAGGGCTTAAGGGTTTTGGGGTTTTACAGGTTTAGGTTTATTTGCTGTTTGTCAACTGCTTGTCCACGTTGTTGACCACCTGCCCCGTTTCTGCCACACCCCTTTTAGATCCGCGGACCCTCAGCCCACCGCCCCTGGTCCCTGAAGTTATCAACGCCCCAGACTACCATGGAAGCCTCGTCCCAACTCCCTTTGTAAGCCCTCAGTCCTAAACCTTACTTGGACGATCTCTTGACTTAGCAAGTTGACTTAATAACTGGCTTAGAGGGCTTATCATATAGTTATCAGGGATAGTAGGTAGTCCAAAGATCATCCAAGTAAACACCCTTAAACGTCAAGCCTCAATCCTAAGCAACAAACCTTAACTCATAATACCTCAATTGCATCCCCCCCATCCGCCCCAAGCCCTCAACATTTCCCCGGCCAGTCGCGACATCATTCTAAACCTTACGCACGAAATTGCTAGGCTGTGGCGGAGTCCAAGACCATCATTTGGAATGGACCCATGGGTGTCTTCGAGATGTCCAAGTTCGAGATCGGCCCCTCTGCCTGCTTCATGTAGAGGGCCCACCCAAGTCGCGGGTGTCAGGTCCCAGATACTATAAGCTGAGTCGTTGTTGGGTTTCGATGCCTAAAGCCTCATTATTGTTGTACTTGCACCCTTAGGGTATCATGTTATGTTTAGGGTTATGCAATCCTTATGTAGGGCTATGCAGGGTTTATGTGGAGTTGATGCAGGGCCCTCTGCAAGGTCTATGTAAAGTTCGTCTACAATCATGTAGGCGTATTCGGAATTGTAAGCTGTAGGGTTTAGGGCTTAGGGGTGTAGACTCTAAACTTAAGACTTTAGACTTTAGACCCAAAAGTACATGCCATTTGAACCCCTTCGAGATTCAAGGTACATGTTGCGCAACAGTCGGATTTGCGATGGGGTCCCCAGTTCTTGAGATCTTGGTGCATCACGGTGGAGGGTGTTGGACTCTTTGCATACGGTATGGGATACTTCAAATAGACCTTAGAATCATCTCTGTCATTGCTCTCGCTTGCACGGTATATCACTCCCTATATTCTCCTGGTTCAAGTAATCCATTTATCATGTTACTGTCCGTTTCTGTGTCATTTGATTTTCCAGTATTGGTAATTATTCAGGCTCCCACAGAAGAGCTTCAGGGTCTTGGGTTTAGGGTTTAGGGTTTAGGGGTTTAGGGTTTAGCCTTCAGGGTTCTTGGTTCACATTTGGTGTTGGCCCAGATACTCACAGAAATCCTTGTCGACGATTAAACATGACCAAGCTGACGAAAGCGCTTTACCTCCCCCGATCAGTAATCTACGAGGGACCCCTTTCCAGATTCCAATTAGGCTCCGGGGGGATGTAAACCCTAAACCAATCCCCAAAATCAACATCCGTAAACCTGAGCCCTAAACCCAAACTCCAAGCCGCATCCAGCCAATTCTAAGACCGAAGCCCTGGAACCCTAAGCCCTAACCAGCTTAAGCTAAGCCAATTAGGGTTGTTCGGGCATAGGGTGCGGTTGTTTGCATTGTGACACCCTGCTGAACTTCTGGTTTGGGACACGACCCTCCAGTAGCTAGCCCTAAACTATCCTAAACCCTAGTAAGCCAGGTGCATGGATCCAAAGCCCTAAACCCTAAACCGTTAAATGAGCCAGATCGCATCCTTAGATCTGTCTCGTCCTCGTAGGAAGTAGCCAGGCCCCCAAAGGATTCTAAAATTGAATCCCCATATGGGTTTTAGGGATTTTATAGGGATCATTCTGGTTGTTCTGGGCTTATATAGCGGATCTACGTTTTAGATCTTCCCAGGGGTCTAGGTAACCGAGCACTTTGCGTGAAACCTTCCAATTTCGCTCGTACTAGCTGCAGGCCGAGCACGTGGAAGTAAGCGCATTGAAGCCGTAACTGCAGAACATAGTCCACGATTTTTGGTTCATTACACAACTGTTTGTAGACCTAAGCCCCTAAACCTCAGGGATCGTGGTTTGGGGCTTTGGGTTTTAACCAGGTAAGCATGATGGCCTTTTGGTCTTGTTTTTCTAGGGGTTTGGGCCATTATTTCACCTATTCTGGGAAGACCCAAGACACCAGATGAATCTGAAACCATGTTTTAGGCTTGAGGGTCTGGATCTCGAGTTTGGGATGTAGCTTTAGGGTTTAGGGGATGGAAGCTCTAATAACTGTAAGTCTCGGCCACAAGGGTTTAGGGTTCAGGCTTTGGGGCTGAGGGCTGTGGTGGTTCGTGAAGATGATGGCATGTGTTAAAGGGTTTGAGGTTTAGCGTTAAGGACTCCTCCAAGGAATTCTTCCCGTCCATTCCCTACTATCCACCAGTACGTATAGGGATGTGTATCCACATCATGGGTCCTAAGGACAAGGACTTACTAACAATGAGGGTGAACACTGCAACCCTAAATCCCATGGCAAGAGTTCAATTACCTATAACCCCAAATTAATGCCTACAGCTTAAACTTGGACCCTAAATGTCAAATCCAAAAGCTGACATCCCGATAACATGCGATATGGTGGTTTCCCGAAATTAGGGGTACTTTTAAAGGGGGGTCCCCATAATAAGGACTATAGTATTTTGGGGTCTAAATTGGGGTCTCCCCTTATCGGGAACTACCATACGATCCCAGCTTCTGTCATTTTACATATTCCTATCCGTTTGATTCTATTTGGGGGGTTTGTATTATCGACCGTGTATATAGCCCATAATATGTATGCGCAAATTCTCTGATACATATATATATATATGATATGCAATTTCTTCTATCCACAAGGACCCCTTGGCGTGATGCTTTAAATTGACCTTGAAGCCCCAAACCCGAAAGTCTAACCCGTACACCTGAACTTCAAGATTCTTAAGCCCGTAAAGCCCTAAAACCTAAACTCGTTTAGGGTTGAGCTGTGCTTTCATTATGTCCATCACAGACTTGTCCTTTGTACCCTTAAGATGTGTACCCTTGGGTTTGGATGCCTATACCATGGAGTCCAGCCCTTAATTTGGGCATGTGGGACACTGAGCCCAAGGTTACGAACCTTGAGGACACAAGCTTAAATTTCGGGTTTAGGGTTTGTTAAAGTAACCCCAGCTGCCACTCAATGTTCCATTCTCTTGTTCATTTGAATCTCCATTATTGGTATCCAACATCATCTTTGTATCCCCAACCCCAAGCCCTAGAGCCTAAATCCTGTATCAAAACAGAATACCCTAAACTAAACCCTAATACACAACCCCACGATAGCGCCAATATCCTTAGGGCTTCTTTAGACATCATAATCCCTCCTATGATATCTCCATGTAATCCTTGTAATATCCCTATGTCATCCCTATAATCTCGCTATAATTTCCCTATGAACCCTAAAGCTCAAACTTAAAACTCTAAACCCGAAACCCTAA